CAAGACCTAACAATCTGTTTCCAAAAGGCCGCAGTCTTCAAAATCACACTGGGAGCAGTTCTACTCCCCCATGAGGCAAAAACATAAGTCAAAATCAACTAGATGCAGTTGAGAGTATGGAATGTGCTCCATACCCCTGACACTATCAGAAGGGGTGACACCCAAATGACCTCAGGGTGAGCAAGCTGGTACCACAGAAGGAGCGGCCACCAAGACACTAGGGTTGTTGACACCCATCCCACTCCTTCTCATCCTCCATCACCCACCAGTCAGGGTCCAGGAGGGCAGCCAATAGTCCAGGTCATTGGGTAAAGAGGAGGCTCTTCTCCTTGGCCAAAAGAAGAGGGAGGGAGTTGTGGGAGCCGTGGAGGGTGGGATCATGAGGGGCAGAGCCCCACAGGGACACACTGGGCCAGGCTGGGTCAGGCCTGTCTGCCCAGAGGAGATGGGGAATTTGACAATATGAATTAACACCAACCTTACTGATGCCACTAGTTTTTTTACTTTGGGAATCTTAAGAAATAAGATTGCCAGACCTATCTTCCACAAGCCACTGGGTAGATTCCAAATGTCAGCCTTTCTTTCAGTTAGTAGCCAAATGCAAACCTTTTATGCCATCCAGGGACCAGTGATTTAAATTCTTTTAATGTCTGGTTTCTTATCTGCAAGGAAAAAAATAATCATTATCACAAGAATTTGTATATAGGTTATTAAGATGTACAATGTCTGGCACACAACAATCTTTAAGTGTTAGCTAGGCAATTAGTATAATGAGAAGGCAGGGTGAAGATAGGTTAGGACTATGAAAAATGGACAGAAAATTTGAGACTCTCCTATCTAAAGATGAAGGTGACTGAGCTAACATCACATATAGGTAAATGTGAATAATTGAAACTCTGCAAATCTTGGGAGCCAGCCTTCCACTGTTACATGTGACTTTCATTATGCTAGTACCGGGCTAATTTGATTACTGTGGCCATGTAGTAGGTTTTGAAATTAGGAAGTGGGAGACCTCCTATTTTACTCTTCCTTTTCTGTAATGCTTTGCTTATCTGAGATCTCTTTTCTTTCCATATAAAGTTAGTGATTAGATTTTCCATCTTGAAAGAATGTTGTTGGAATCTGGATTGGGATTGTATTATATCTACAGATTACCTGGGATAGTATTGACATTATCTCAATATTAAAGCTTCCTATCCATGAGCATGGTTTATTCTTCCAATTTTGTAAATCTGTTTTGGTTTCTTATAGTAGTGTTTTGTAGTTATCTTTTTATAAGTCTTTTGTTTTTCTGATTAGATTTATTCCCAAGTATTTCATCTTTTGAGGGGCTGTTGTAAATGGTATTGTTTTTCTATTTTCCTTTTCAGAGCTCTCTCTATTAGTATAAAGGAATGCAACTGATTTTTGTATGTTGATCTTGTACCATGACACTTTGCTGATTCTTTCAAAAAATTCTAATAATTTTCTTGCTGAGTTTATGAGATTTACTATGTACAGAATCATATCATCTGAAAATAGAGTTTTACTTGTTCTTTGACAATTTGGATGCCTTTAATTTTCCTTTCTTGCCTTATAGCTCTGGCTAAGACTTCTAGCACAATACTGAACAGGAGTGGTGATCAAGGGCATCCTTGTCTAGTCCCTGTGCACATGAGGAATTTTTTCAGCTTCTTTCTATTCAGAGTGATATCAGCTGTTGGTTTTATATTTTGTTGTGGTTGTTGTTACATGCCATCAAGTCAGTTCTGACTCATAGCAGGGTTTCCATACAGGGTTTCTGAGATTTTAGTGGTCTTTGCAGGAGCAGAAAGCCTCATCTTTCTCCCATGGAGCATCTGGCAGACTCAAACCACAGACTTTGTGGCTCACAATCCAGTGCTTATCATATTAAGATATTTCCCTTCTATTCCTATTTTGTTGAATGTTTTTATCGGGAACAGATATTGGATTTTGTCAAATGCCTTTTCTGCATCAGTTGATATGATCATGTGATTTTTTTTTCCCTTAGTTTTGTTTATATGGCAGATTACATTAATTGTTTATTAATAATGAACTATCCCTGCATACCTGGTATGGATCCCATTTGATACTGATGAAATATTTCTGTTGATATCTTGTTGGATTCTATTGGCTAGAATTTTGTTGAGAATTTTTGCATCTGTGTTCATGAGGAATACTGATCTATAATTTTCTTTTTTAGTGATGTCATTGCCTGGCTTTGGCATCAGGGTTATGCTTGCTTCATGAAATGAATTTAGGAGTTTTCATTCCTTTTCTATATTCTGCAATCATTTAAGTAGAATTGGTGTCAGCTCCTCTCAGAATGTTTGATAGAATTCACCATAAGGACCATCTGGGCCTGGAAACTTTTTAGTTGGGAATCTTTTAATGACTTGACCAATTTATTCTTTTGTTATAGATATGTTCAAGCTTTTACTTCAGTTTGTATGAGTTTAGGTAAGTTGTATTTTTCTAGAAATTTGTCCATTTATTCTACATCTTCACTTTTTTTTTTTTTTAAGTACAATGCTGCATGTTGTTGTTAAGCACCATCAAGTCAGTTCCGACCCATAGCTACCCTGTATAGGGTTTCTGAGGAGCAGCTGGTGAGCTTGAACTGCCAACCTTGCAGTTCAAATGGTTTTGCAGTCTGGCGCATTAACCCACAGCGCCACACCAGGACTCCACAATTCTGCATAGTATTGTTCTATTTTCCTTTTTATTTCCATTGGTTCTGTTGTGATGTCACACGTCATTTCTTTTTCATGCTATTTGTATCTTCTTCTTCTTTTCTTTTGTTAGATTTTTCAGTAGCTTGTTGATTTTATTGATCCTTTCAAAAAACCAAATTCTTCTCTTGCTGATTCTTTCTATTGCTTTTCTGGTTTTTACTTCATTTATTTCTGAAATATTGTTTCCGAAAGTTTATTTCTTTTCTTTTGGTGGCTGCAAGCCACCAAATTGTTGGAAATATTGATTTAGGTATTAATTTTGATTCTTTCTTGTTTTGGAAAGTGTGTGTTTATTGCTATAAATTTTCTTCTGAGTATTACTTTTGCTGTGTCCCTAATGTTTTTGCATATGTTATGTTTTCATTCTTATTAAATTCTTGTTGTTGTTAAGTGCCTTCGAGTCGGAGCCGACCCATAGCGACCCTGTACAGGGTTTCCGAGGGTGTAAATCCTTACGGGAGTAGAAAGCCTCATCTTTCTCCCACAGAGCGGCTGGTAGTTTCGAACCACTGACCTTAAGGTTCGCAGCCCGATTCGTAACCACTACGCTATGTTTTATTTCATTTTTTAATTCTTCTATATTACTCAATAGCTCTTAATCAGGATGTTATTAAATTTCCATGTATTTTATTTTTTCCTTGATCATCCTGTTGTTAGATTTCTAATTTTATAGCATTGTGGACTCAGAAATTGATTTGTAGTATTTTGATTTTTTTTTAATTTATTGAGACTTGCTTTGTGGCCTAACATGGTCTATTATGGAGAATGTTCCACGTGCACTGGAAAAGAATGCATATTGTGCTGTAATGGGGTTGAGTGCTCTATATACATCTATGAGGTCAAGTTAGTCGATTGTGTTATTTAGTTCTTCTGTGTGTTTATTTAGCTTCCTTCTAGTTGCTCTGTCCTTCATCAAAAGTAGTGTATTTCCTGCAATTATTGTGGGAAGTCTTGGTATGACATTGAAAGAAATGCACTGGACCCCAAGGTCGGTAGTTCAAACTCACCAGTAGCTCCTTAGAAACCCTATACAGAGTCACTGTGAGTCAGAAGTGACTTGATGGCACTTAACAACAGCTATTATTGTGGAATTGTCTATTTCTTTCCTCAGTTCTATTAGAGTTTGATTTTGTATTTTGAGGCATAGATATTTATTATGGTTATGTCCTCTTGCTCAGTTGACCCTCTAATCATGAAATAATATCCTTCTTTGTCCCTTATCCTGGTTTTTTTGCCTTAAAATCTATTTCATCAGAGATGAATATTTCTACTTCGGCACCTTTTTTATTGCTGTTAACTTGATATATTTTTTTTCATCCTTGATTTTTAGTCTGTGTCTCTTGACTTGTACATTTAGTCCATTTGCATTCAGTATAATTATTGATTGGTAGGAATAGATTGCTGTCATTTTGTTGTATGTGGTTTTGGTGGTGCTGCTGGCTTCTCTTTTCCACATGATTTTCTGTGCTGAGTTCATTTTGTTTGTGGGTTTTATCATCATTTTCTTCATTGCTGTTGTTTTAATGTTTACTAAATCTTTATGGTTTTCTATTTTTTGGTTAAGATGTGAAGGTGTATTAATTTTCTCTGAAGTTAACCTATAAGTTACTAATTTCTCCCCCAGTTTAAAACAATGTATTTTATCTTGAAACCTACTGACTTCCTTGCCATTTGGACTACAAAGATCACAGCAGCTACCCCATTCATTCCTTGCTCTAGAGAAAAGCCCAAAACACAGGGCGAGGCTCTGCACACATGAGGGTCAGGCCTTAGCCACAGGACCAAGAATATAAGGAACAATGTAAAATGCTTGTGACTTAGAGACCTGGATTCAGGTCTCAGGCCTGTCACTTTCTATATATTAAAAACAAAACAAAGGTTTGTTATTAAAAACAAGCAAGTTATTAATATCAAATCAATTGTGACTCTAACAATCCTCTACAACAGAGTAGAACTGACACATGGTGTTTCCAAGGTTGTTATCTTCCTCCATCAGAGCAACTGCTGAATCCAGCCACCAGGCTTTCGGTTAGGTGCTGAGCAATTAACTACTGTGCTTCCAGGGATCAACTAGATTTTATTCCAGGAAAATTATGCAGCCACTATGAAACCCATGACCTTATCTATAAAGTGAGATTCTAACTCTCTCACTTGATTCTGAGAGCAACTTATGAAGAGTATGTTGTTAAATTATAGAAATGTTGATTGCTTCCACATAAACTTCTTTCCCTTCTTTAACTGTGCCATAGGTTCTGGCCTGGAGTGATGGCAAAAGAAAACCAGACTACCTCACTGCCTGAATTCCTCCTTCTGGGATTCTCAGATATCAGAGCCCTGCAGGGGCCTTTATTCTGGATGGTTCTTCTGGTCTACCTGATCACCTTGCTGGGCAACTTTGTGATCATCCTCCTCACTCAAGTTAGCCCTGCCCTGAACTCCCCCATGTACTTCTTCCTGCGCCACCTCTCAGTGGTAGAACTCCTCTACATCACAGATATTGTGCCCAGAACCCTGACTGACCTCACGTCCCCATACCCCCAGGCAATCTCTTTTCAGGGCTGTGCAGCCCAGATGTATATCTTCATTGTCCTGGGCATATCAGAGTGCTGCCTGCTCACAGCCATGGCCTACGACCGCTATGCCGCCATCTGCCGACCCCTGCACTACTCTACCCTCATGAACCGGCAGGCCTGCATGATTATGGTGGGCACTTCCTGGCTCATGGGCATCATCACAGCCACCACCCACTCCTCCCTTATCTTCACGCTACCTTTTCCCAATCACCCAGTTGTCCCTCACTTCCTCTGTGACATCCTGCCGGTACTGAGACTTGCCAGCGCTGGGAAGCACAGAAGTGAAATTTCTGTGATGACTGCCACAGTGGTCTTCATCATGGTCCCCTTCTCTCTGATTATCACCTCTTATGCCCGCATTCTGGGTGCCATCCTGGCAATGACCTCCACCCAGAGCCGCCGCAAGGTCTTCTCTACTTGCTCCTCTCACCTGCTTGTAGTCACCCTTTTCTTTGGAACGGCCAGTATCACCTACATCCGGCCCCAGGCAGCCTCCTCCATTACCACGGACCGCATCCTCAGCCTCTTCTACACAGTCGTCACTCCTATGCTCAACCCTATCATCTACACCCTTCGGAACAAGGAAGTGACAGGGGCCTTGCAGCACATAATGAAGAGACATGTCCCCTCAACCTGAAGGGACTCAGGAGGTATCTGCTTTCTAGCCACTCCTCCTATTAGCCTTCAGCCCCTGAACTACAGAACCCCAACCAATCTAACAGAAACCATGAAGCCACTCAAAGAAATGTCTGCCTGGCAGAAATATATTGTTATTACTACAGAGATAAATCTACATCTTATCTCCTGTTCATACTCAAGGAGCCCTGGTGACACAAAAGTTAAGCATTTGGCTGCTAACTGAAAAGCTAGCTGTTCAAAATCTCCCAGTAACTCTATAGGAGAAAGACCTGTCGATATGCTTCCATAGAGATTACAGTCTAGAAAACCCTATTGAGCCATTCTCCTCTGTCACATGCATCAGAATTGACTCAACACCACCCAACAGCAGCAACCTCCCATTTCCCAGACTCACAATCAGAACATGGGTTGTTAGGACAAGGTAGAATGGAATGGAATGCTGCCCCTGGAGAGCATTTCACATCTTATAGACAATTCTGAACCCCTGAGCAATGTGTTAGCCTGTGGCCAGTTAGACCCATGAAGGCAGATGACTATGAACTTGACATCCAAATTAGTGGCCCACCGAAAGTCTGTGGAAGAATTTGCCTGTGCCCTTCCATCCAGTTTTCTCTGTGTCAGAGTCTCACCATACTCATGGTATAATTGTTCTGCTCTCAGCCTCTAGCATAAGTGTCTCAGGGGTTTAGTTATAAGGTAGCTGTTCTCCATTTCCAATCTGTCGGCACAGAAGGGAATATCATTAGACTGTGTCAATAAAGACTGAGGTTAGACATCAGGAAAAAGATTCTGTCAGAAGATCCTATGATATGTCTCCCAAGAACACACTGGTACCTCACACTTTCGACAACTTTAAGAAGATAAAGAAGGCCCTAGTTAGGTGGTACACTGTTTGTGCTTATCTACTAGCATGTGGTGCTATAAGATATACACGGGACTGCTATCTTACAGGTCAGCAATTCAAAGCCACTAGCCACTCCTTGGAAGCCCCATAAGGGGTCACTATAAGTGGGCACTTAGCTAAAGGTTGGTGGTTTGAACCCACCTAAGAGTGTCATAGAAAAAAGGCTTGGTGGTCTACTTCAATAAAATTTACAGCCAAGAAACTCCATGGAGCAGTTCTCTCATAAGCCACTGTTTGATTGGGTCAATGCCAATGTGTTTGCTTTAAGAAGAAAAGGAGGCTCTCAGGAATTCTAAAGAGGCACCAGTTTGATGTCAACCAGAGAGCCTAAGGCAAGAATATATGAAAGCAATGCATTCCCATCCCTCTGGTGCTGAGCTACAACTACCTATACAGTGGTTTCTATTACTTTACAAGTGGTAAGACAGAAAGAATTGGTACAGAATCGTGTATCACTTTGTTAAACAAAAATATCAAAATGTGAAGCTACTCTTTCTTAATGTATCTTCCATCTAGGTCGATACACTTCTGAAGGTGATACTTCCATTTTCCTAACCCTTTCCCCAAAAAGTCTGCACTACTTAATTTACATCATAAAATGGTAGTTTTGACATCCTCAAGGGACTCAAACTTAGTTCCTTTAAAATGTTCTGAGTTTTTGGAAGAAAAATGCATCTTAAAGAGCCAGATCAAGGCTGCATGGTGGATGGGGTAAGGTTTCCCAATGAAATTCTCCTAGGACAGACCTTGCTACCCTTGAAGAATGAGCAGGTGCATTGTCATAATGGAAAAAACTCCCTCGACACAATTTTCCTAGACTTGTTCTCACCAATGAAGATTTCCATTTTCTGAAAACTTCATAATAAACCCCTGTGACTGTCCTTAAGGAAAATCTATCAAGGTTACACTTTTAATTCGCAAACAATAGTAACCATAACTCTGCCTTGAATCTAACTATACAGCAGGTTCTTTCATAAGCCACTGTTTGATTGGGTTTTTTTTTTTTGTTTAAGACACTCTAATGAGGTTGAACCAGGATCAGGCAGTGTTTTGTTCTGTTATGCATAGGGTCACTATGAGTCAGTACAGACTCGATGGCACCTAACAACAACAACAACAATGAGACTAAGACAAGTTTATTTCTGAGAGAACTTGTCTGCAATCATTCATTGATTGCAGAAACTTGTTTAAACATATTTTGTTTGATGGGGGAGTACTTAATCTTATAGTACAGAAACAGAGGACCCTAGGACCATCAAGGGAGAAGAACACAAGCAGCATGTGGGACCCTATCCAGAGAAGCAGCGACACCAGAGATGGAGGCAGAGATGAGGACATGGAGAAATAGAGCAGCTGAGAACTCTACACTCATGGAAAGAGAGGGACTGAGTGCTGGTGGCCAGGAGGCAGGCTTGCAGAATGTGCCTTTTGGTTGTTTAAATTATTAAATATTCCTGAGTGTTTTTGTGTACATCTCACCATGCCCACCCCCAAAAAGAAAAACAGAGGGAATAGAAACAAATACTACTGAATGATGTTGCACGGAGGAGATTGTAATCATTGCATTGAAACAGTGGTGTAAAGTCAATGTTCTCCCATGTTCACTCAGTTCACAATAAATTAAAAAATAATTTTAAAAAAAATCTTTTATTTGGAATAACCCCATAGATGTGTGAGCAGGAAACTTAGTAGTAATATTTTGTGACTTACCCTCACATTTCCCTGGGTATTCGCCACAACTAGAGAACAGTAGAGAGTTGATATAAAAGCACACGCTACTCCAGATAATGCCACCTGGGTCCCTCAACCTCACACACCATTGTCACCTCTACACTCTCCTATCCATGCTGTTAGACCCATGGTCTTTTTGAAATTTGTTTACCCCAATAGTCCTTTATGGACTCCTGGTGTGGCACTGGATGAGAATCAGCACTGCATGAGAATCACAAGGTCAGCCGTTCAACCCCCAAGCTGCTCCTCGGAAACTCTAAACGGGGTCTATGAGTCAGAATCAACTCAACAGCACTTAACAATAACAACAATACTCCTTTATGCCACTACTATTATAAACATTTATAAACTATTAGAAACCTTTGCCCAGTGAATCACTAACATTTTTCATGTTTCTTCATCCATTTCTAAGCTGGTGAAAATAGAGGTGACCCAACGGAATGTGGAAATCATCTGACAATATCATTAATATCACATGCAAGCAAAAGATTGCTAAAGATAATTCAAAAACAGATGCAATAGTACATTGACCCAGGAGACATCAAGGCAAGTGGTCTGGCCCCCTCAGGGCAAACCCCCTTGCAAGACTAAGACTAGAGGGGAATACATAAGCAGACATGCGCTCTGACTGGTGACCATGTTCGTCACCGATAAGGGGAAGTGAGGGAAAAACAACAATGAAGCTGTGAGCTAAACCCTACCACATTCAATAGATTCCAGTGAACCTGGGTGGAGACCTGGTTGACCAGCAGTATGGCAAGACCTGGGGATTCCTGGGCCCAGATTTAGTGACATAGTCACCAAGGACTAAAGTGGAGAGTGAAGCATCCAGCTGATAAGAAGTGAGGGCATACGTACAAGAACACCCAAACTTGCAGATAATACCCACTTGACCTGGTTTCAATGGTTGGATGATCAGAACTCAACTAGAAGAAGAAAGAAGAGGGGAAAAAGAGTAATCCAATACAATTTGATGAACTTGACCTACACCTTTGGAACTCAACTAGAAGAAGAAAGAAGAGGGGGAAAAAAAGAGTAATCTGATACAATTTGATGAACTTGACCTACACCTATGGATGTAGTAGCTCAAAAGAGGGAACAAATCTTTACAGTGAGGATCATTCCCATTCCCTCGATACACAGGGTAGACCGGGATGGGCAACTTGGACA